CGGGGTCACCTGTCGAGCCGCGAACTGCGCGAGGGTTCTGCAGGTGCCGCGCGCGGCCGCCCTCTCTGGGGCCTTCGGTGGAGGTCCCCATTGGGCCACGACGCGCGCGAGCGGTGCCCAAGTGCGCGCGCGGCCGCTGACGCTGGGACCTTTGGGGGGTTTCCGTACTCGGGCCATCGAACGCGCAAGGGGTGCACAAGTGCCGCGCGCGGCTGATGCCTCTGGGGCCTTTGGTGGAGCCTGGGGAGTGCAAGTGCCGCGCGCGGCCGCTGCTACCACGGCCTCGACGGAGTCGCCTGTGGGGCCGCGAAGCGTGCGAGGGGTGTGCAAGTAGGGCGCGCAGCCTCTACCACTGCGGCTTTCGGTTGGGCAAATACATTTGGGGCCTGCGAGCACCGCGCTCTGCCGCCGCCGTCGGAGGCTTCGGTGGACTCTCCATCAGGGGCGACGGCTGGAGCACCCTTCGGGGCCACGGCATTTTTTTCGTAGGGTCGTTGCCCTTGAGGCAACGCCCCATGTCGGCGAAACTTTCTTGGGTGCATTGCCGCGGGGGGTGGCGCGGCGCAGACGTTATCTACTGACCTGCGCGGCTGCGCCCCTCGCCTGGCGCCGCGCCCCCGCACGCCCCCCCGCCCGCCTGGCGCCGGGAGGCGGCCGGGCTCTCATCCCAAGGGCTGGGGGAGGGCAACGCCTTATAGGGCAGCCGCATTCCGTCGCGGGCTTCCCAGGGGCGTCGCGCCATTCCACCTCGCCCCCGCCGGCTGCCCTATTCTTCTTCCGTTTTCACTGATCGGGGCGGGCATTTATTTTGCGTTGTATTGTGCATTTGTATGGAAAAACATCGGCGCCTCCCTGGCCTTTTATTATTATCACATTGGTTTGTGTGTATATATATGTATACATATATTCACACACGCGCAACCAAGATGCAAACACATGGATGAATAATGTTGGGAACACGCGCGCGGAATCGGTGGGCGTCTCGCCTATTTCGGCCCGCTTAATCTTTGCCCATTTCAAATCGGCGCGCCAGTTTCCCCCTGGGGTTGCGAATGTGTGGCACATTTTGTTTTCGGTTCTTTTGCGTATCGCGAACGCACCTAGACAAATCGCGGCCGCCCGGGGGCCGCGCCGATCGAGACCCCGGGGCGATCGTGCCGGCGTCGGGCGCGGATCCTGGGCGGTATCTCGCGCCGCCTTGGGTCGCGGCGGCCATTTAGTAACAAATTCTGGGGCCCTCGAATGTGCCGCCCGAGGCGATGGCGCAATAGGCGCGGGCTGGGCTGGATGCGAACGGCGCCGCGGATTGGAATCGCCGCGGGGGGTCGCAGCGCAGACGGCCAGGGGAACAGCGGGGTTAATTTGAGAGGGCGGCGGGCAGGATGAAGAGCGCGCGAGGGGAAGGGGGGGGGCGCGCGATCGGAGGGTGAGGGCGGGTTTGGGAGGGAGGGGGGGGGGGGGGAGGGGGGGGGAACAAGGAGGTCCACGTCGTCGGCGGCAGTCTGGGGGGCGTTTTTGCTGGCATACTCGCCAGTCGCAGCGACGGCAGCCGCGCGGGCCGCGGCGGCGTGCCCTCGACGTCAATGGTGCGCGGGGGCACGCAGGACGTTTTGCCATCTGCTTTCGCGCGATGATGGTACAGTAGCCATCTGAAAGGTTGGATCGCAGGAGTGTTGGGTGGCCCGTGGCCCTTTGCAGTGGCGAGCCGGCCTGTAGCTTCGCGCGGCCCTGGCCCGCCTCCATTGATTTTGCTCTGCCTCATCACCATGTCCCCCTCGTTCCAAGGGCCCGCTCTCGGCGGCCCCATCGAGACCGTGCTAGCCGCCGCCCGCCCCCATTCAAGTTCTTGTCGCCCCCCTGTCCGTCCTCTGCACCCCCTCCTCGCCCAAGCTAGTCTCCAGGCGATGTCGCACGCCTGCCCCCTCCCCCTCTCCTCGCGCGACGGTTTCATCGGCTCCGTCGTCGTTTCCCTGGCGCCGTCGTTCCTGTCAGTGGCTGCGCTGCTGTTCCTGCCCCCGTCGTCTGCCTTCCGCCGCGTCGCCGCCGCCGCTGCAGTCGCAGATGCGGCGTCGGAAATTTGCTGATTCGGCGGGCTTGCGTCGTCGACTCGCAAGCGAGGCGTTCGAGTTGTCCGGGGTGAAACACCCCTGGGCGGGCGCGCGCAGCTGCGTTTCGCGCTTGCCGCGCGCCACTTCGCTAATCCAGCGAGCGGTTGCTGCGTTATCATACAGCGGGGACATTTTCCGCCCGTTTCGCAGCACCGAATTTTCTTGCGTTGCTCGTGCAATGTAATGTTTTCCTGGGTCCCCAGGCTGTCCACGAGTAGCTGCCTCTTAAGTTTCGCTGGTGTCCATGATCAACGTAGCAGATCGGGTGTTTTGGAAAGGGTTCGGGGTTGCGCGGGTGCAACAGTAATGTTGATTCGCGGTGTCGAAGGCCCAAACATTGGTGCTTCGGTACGGTTCCGGATCGCCTGGACGCAGCAGTCAGGTTGATCCGAGGCGTTGACGTCCTGAGAACCATGTTTTGGCATGCTTCAGGATTTCCAACGAGGCAGTTCCCTCAATGGAAATGACTCGTTGTAGGGGCCTATGAAGAGGAAGCTTGGGGGAGGAATCATTCCAACGTCGTCGATGACCCTTGGGTTTACACTGGTCCTTCCCCTCCTCCGCCCCCCCATCCTCCTCTGTGTCTTCCTCTCCTCTTGCGCCCCTCTTCTCCCTCCTCCTCTTCTCCTCCTCCTCCTCCTCCTCCTCCTCCTCCTCCTCATCCTTATTATCCCCCTCCCCCTTCTCACGTTCGCTTCCTCCCTCTTCCCCTCCTCCGAGTCCCCCTCTTCCCCCCCCCCTGGCCGCTACCTCGTCCGTCGTCCTCACCTTTTCTCTTCATGGCCCTATGGCCCCACGGCTTGATGTTGCCAGCCGTGCAGAGTGGCCCCGCTGCCTTTCGGCCGAGCGCCGAGCCCAGGCGGGCAGATCGCGGTGCAGGCTTTGTTCAAGGCCTTCGACAACCTCGCCCATCTGGGCTGCGCTCGTAGGTCCTGGATCATGCCAAGAGTCGCATCGCACGGGCCTTGGTGTGCAAGGCTTCTGTGTGTGCGAAGCTGGTTGTGTTCCTTCGGATGCTCGCGGCGGCCGGACGGCGCTAAAGCTGACCACCCTGACACATGTCTTGCAAAAATGCGGAATTCAGCTGAGACCCTCGTGAAGGACACCTTGTTGTCCATCGGGCACGCTTCTTTTCCGAAGTCGCTGCGGATGATCATGGCGATCCGTCTAATGACGCTGACGCTCAGGGCTCCGAGCATCAGTGCCGTTTTCGTCGTCAACGAAGTAGAAGCGTATCGCTTCCGGAAGGCGCGCGTCGCGACGCTTCGTGGTGCTGGTTGTCGCCGTCGTCGTTTTCGTCATCTTCGTTCGTACGTCGTCGATGTCTTTTCGCCGTCCTCTTCGGCCTCCGGGGGCCCTCGCTGGGCCCTGGGGACCGTCAAAAAACGGCTCAAGACGAAACGCCGGCTCTGGGGAAGTGAGCTGGACCTCCAGAGTCCACGCATCGAACAAATCGTAGCAGGGATGGCTCAGATCATCGAGAGTAAAAGAACACCTAACCTGAATACCACGATAAAGACGTGGTTTCAGTCAGGTCCCCATCCCCGCAATAGGGATAATAGTCCTGCGCGGTCTGGTTTGGTACATCGACTCCCCATCCCTAATGCTTTTGTCCCTCCTGGCTTAGGCCCCTCCCGAAGGGCTTGGGGGTTTTTACTGCGAATCACCAGATGCCCGAGGCACGTCCGTGGGGCCGCGCGGGGCACCTAAGAATCAGTCCCGGCCAGAATTCCTTTCTCGGGCTAGCCACCCTCAGCTCCCAGCCTGTGTTGTCCTCACATGGCGTGAGATCGCGGGGCCCTCAGAGCACGAACCAGCCGAGCGCACAAGAACAAGTAGTTGCTTCTGCAAGGTGCAACAAACATATTATCAGGATGCAAAGACACTTCGAGTGCGTTGGCTGAGCAACCCCAGGTGGCGGAGGATCCTATCCAATAGCAGCCATCACCCTCCTCCTCCTCCTCCTTCCCCTCATCCTATCCCCCCCCTTCCGTAGTCGATGACGACAGACGACGACGAACGCGGCTGCATGCTTGGATGACTTCTTGGGTGTGGCGCTTTGCGCCTCCGCCCTCCCTCCCGCCCCACTTGCAGACCGGATCCGCCGTTGCTTCGGTGTCGGCCCTCCAGGCCCTTGGCGTTTGCGCTTTCTCGCAGTTTACAATGTGCAGAGCGGCACTCGGCATTCCCTCCCCCAGGGCGACTGTCCAGAGGCTTTCCGCGACTTCCACCGCGAGGCCGTCCTGAGACAGCACTCCTCTAAAAGTCTGCTCCGGTCTGCCTTCAAAAGGCACGGTGGGGGCTCCTAGCGTTCTCCGTTACTTTCTTCGTCCCTCCTTCTCTTTTCCTCCTCTTTGTTCGATTGTTATTCTACTGGGTCCAGGCGGCCCTTTCTTCCTAGCGTGCCTTTCAAGATCTAGCCTTCCGGCACCATTTGTGTATTCGGCCAGTCGGCTTGGGATTGATACGCGCTCAGGGCGATTTCGTATCGATTGCATCTGGTTTATATCCCCCCTCCTCCTCCCGCCGTTCTCAATGCACTGTGCCCGTGTTCGGGGTCGTTCACGGTTCTCGTCCCGAGAGTCAGCGTGGTTCGCCAGGCATTGCTCTCTTGTCGGCCACGCGGCCGGGAGAGCGGAGTGCCGCGAACTGAGTAGGTTAGCTCCCCGCTGCGCGAATCAGACCTTTGGAGCCACATCGGCAACGGACACTTCACTGCACGATTTTACAATTTTAGTGGCCGTGCGATTGATGTCACACTTCTGGCGTGGACGGCAGACTGTTGAATGTGAGTGCTTTGGCATGATAGCCCTCTGGGGCAGCGGATTGCCATCCGTTACTATTTTCATTTTTTTTGGGTGCAAAGCGATGACGACGCACGACGACCACGGACGACGGACAACGGCCGCGACATCCGCCGCCGTTATGGCTCGGAGGCCCCCTGGGTCAGGAGCGCTTTGGGCCCCCGCCGGCCATCGTCCCCGCCGCAGTGAGTCCGGCTACGCGCAAGGTAGACCCTCGGCGCCTTGATCTTCGGTGCGCGGCTTTTTCCCGGGAGGGCCGAGCTCAAGTACGCAGGCGGCTTCTGCTGCACCGCACGCGACGACCAGCGCGCCGCGCACCAAAATGTCACGTCTGCTTAGGACCAGGGCTCGGTCTGACCGGCCCCCGGTAGGCCTTACGTTGCATCTTTGGGGGACCTTGCCTGTTCCCCAGATCGGTTCTTCTTGTGACCGACGCGTGCCCGATGCGGACTCGGCGCGGAGTTGACGCGGATCCGACGCGGACTCGACACGGATACGACACGGATCCGACGAGCCCGACGTGGATTCGGCACGGATTCGGCGCGGACAGGGCCTCGACGGGACAGACGAGGTCCCCCCGAAGATACAGTAGAGCGTCACGACCCCTTCGCTCCCAGACGCGGGCAGGCAGCCCGAGGGGAGCCTCGAGGGCGAGGGGGTCGTCACGGAGTCGGCTTGGCGCGAGGGGCACGCCCCACCCCCAAACGCCAAGTCTTAAGTCGGGCATGTCCCTCTACAGGAGGAATCTCAAGATACAGTCAAGAGACAGTTTAGGGACGATGTTCGACCATTTTTGCTTATTTTCGTTTTTGTTTTTGTTTGTTTGTTTGTTTGTTTGTTTGCTTGTTTGTTTGTATGTTTTCACGTTTTGTCCAGAATCCGCCTGTGAGGGGACATGCCCGCTCTAAGCCAACTCATCGCCGACAGGGGGCCCGATGGCAGCCCGCCCTGCCCCGGAACGTACGGCTCCGCTATCGGGGGCCCATCGCCGATCCATCGGCGACGTATCGCCGATTCAGGCTCGACGTTCCCCCCCCCCCCCCACCGAGCTGGCCCCCCCCATCGCCGGCCCTTAAGGCAGGCCGCGGTGGGGCCGCGCCTGAACCCATCAGGGCCACTCCTTACCAGTGTCTGGCATTACGGTACCGCGGTGCCTATCTTTAAGGATACCCTCAGTTTCTGAGGGCACATCCCTAAGAATGTCATCGTTTTTAACTTGCCGATACCCAAACCTCCGACGTCGCAATTTTTTCACAACGTCGACCCCCAGAGTTGTGGACCCCTCCCCCGGGACTGGTTTTGTCATCCTGAGCCGTTTTTCGACGGCCCCCAGGCCCGGCATTGGCTCTTAGAGGCCGACATAGCGAAAGACCTCCCGTTGCGATTCAGGGGGCTGAGTCTCAGGAATAGTCAAGCAGTGGCGAAGCGTCCTGGCCTGCCTATACGTAGGCCCAAACGAGCATGTTCTAAGAACCTGTTGTGGTTTGCGCGAAATGTTCTCAGACCATTTCTGGCGGATCTTGTTTTGTTTCGAAACGTCGGGCTCACGTTCTAAGTACACTGTTTTGTTTGGTATTCGAACACCGATGTGTTCTGAGAGCATGTCGTGGTAGGCCTGTAGGAATGCCAGGGCGGTCGCTCCCTGCTCAACATAGGGACCTGTCCGAGGTTGCTTCACTCCTGCGCGCAGCCGCCGCAGCCGCAGCCGCAGAGCGGCGCCGGCGCGCCGCGCGCGGTCCACGATGGTTTTTGCGCGGCCCTCCTCCGCCCCCAGCCGGCGAGCCCCCGCCGCGACGGCTCGGGCGTCGACGTCGTCAGCGGCGTCCCGTCGTCGTCGTCGTCGTCGACGTCGTCGTCGTCGTCGACGTCGTCGTCGCCTTCGTCGTCGTCGTGGTCGTCGTCGTCATAGTCGGCGTCGCGTCGTCGTCGTCGACGTCGACGTCGTCGTCGTCGTCTTCGTCGTCTTCGTCGTCGTCGTCGTCGTCAACGTCGACGTCGTCGTCGTCGTCTTCGTCGTCTTCGTCGTCGTCGTCGTCGTCGACGTCGTCGTCGTCGTCGTCGTCGACGTCGACGTCGGCGTCGGCGTCGGCGTCGGCGTCGGCGTCGTCGGCGTCGTCGGCGTCGGCGTCGTCGTCGGCGTCGGCGTCGTCGTCGTCGTCGGCGTCGGGGGGGGGCAGCTCAGGGAGACGGGCAGGCAGGCATGGGCTGCGTTGGGGGGGTCGAGAAGGGAGCACCTCTTGTGGCCCAAAGGGGCCCCGCAGGAAAGGCCCCGTGGGGCCCACGAGGGGTACCAGAAGTGCACGTTTAACCCCCCCTTCAGGAGGAGCAGCAGGGAGGAGGAGGAGGGGGGGAGGAGAAGGAGGAGGAGAGGGAGGAGGAGAAGGTGGAGGAGGGGGAGGAGAAGCAGGAGGAGAAGCACGATGAGAAGCACGATGAGGAGGAGGAGGAGGAGGAGGAGGAGGAGGAGGAGGAAAGAAGGAGGAGGAGGAAGAGAAGGGGAGGAGGAGAGGAGGAAGCAGGAGGGGGGGAGGAGAGGAGGAGAGAAAAGGGGAAGGAGGAGGAGGAGGGAGGAGGGCAGCAGCAGGGAAGATGAGGAGGAGGAGGAGTTGGAGGAGGAGGAGAGGAGGAGGAGGAGGACGGAGCTAGAGGAGGAGCAGGAGGAGGAGGAGGAGGAGCAGCAGCATGAAGAGCAGCAGCAGCAGCAGCAGCAGCAGCAGGGAGGAGGATGAGGAGGAGGAAGCAGAAGGAGGAGGAGGAGGGAGGAGGAGGAGGAGGAGGAGGAGGAGTAGGCCGCCCAAGACGTCAACATTTGTTCATAACGTCGACTCCCAGAGGTCTCGACCCATTCCCGGGGACCGCCTGTTCACCCCGAGCTGTTCTTGCGCGGCCCCGAGGCGGGGTGAGGGCCCCCAGAGGCCGAGAACAGCGAAGCGCCTCCCGTCGTGGCTCCAGGGGCTCTGGGCTCCCATCGCCCCCCCACCAGTATGTGAACGCCCCCCCGGCGCGCAGGGCCCCGAGCGGCGAGCGCCCGCGAGCGCCCAGCCGCAGAGGCCCGCCTCCGCGCGGGCCGGCGGCAGGCCGCGGCCACAGAGCGCAGGCGGCGGCCGCCCCACGGACCCGCACGGCGTGTCCCTGCTCGGCGGCGCGGCGGCGCCGCCGCGGCCGGGCTGCTCGGGGGTTCAAAGCCTCGACGTCGCGTGCCCTGAGACCCTGGCGTCGCTGTTTTTGTTCGCCACGGGCGTTTTCGCTCGATTTCGGGCCCCGGGACCCTCACAGATCGATCCGGCTCGAAAAATGGCGCAGGAACATGTGGTCTAGGGCTCCGGGCGTGGTTTGTAACAACGTTGCAACTTTTTCGCTATGTCGGATCTCAGGGTAAGAGTGGCCTTTCGCCAGGGTGGCCTTTGGTGCGGGCCCAATGGGGCCCCCCGATCGCCGAACGCGATGCAGTAGCAGCGTCTTGCGCGCTCGTGTCTGGCCCCCCAAAAAGCCGCGCACCACAGGTCACTCTTACCCAGGGTCACTCGTGCGCGTAGCCGGAAGATGGGGTCCTGCAGTGGGATGGGGTCCCATGGACCGGGAGATCCGACGCACCAGAAAAATCGGAGCTGGCGGCTCGGGGCTGCTTTCGGCCTCCAGGGGCCCTGACCCGGCCTCGGGATTGTCAGACAACGGCTCAGAAGGTCGGGGACCACCCGTAACCCCCTCCCCCCATCCGGTCGGACCGAGGTACAGTCCAGAGATCCGACGCTCCAACAGAAATTGGAGCGGGCGGGGTTTGGCGGTTTTCGGCCTCCTGGGGCCCTGGCTGGGTCTCGGGATCGTGAGAAGAAGTCTCAAGAGGAAAAGCCGGCCCTACAGGGAAGTGGCCTGGACCTCAAGGGCCCATGCACGGACAAAATTGGAGCAGCCGGAGGTCGGGGGACAGGAAGAGGGAGCCAGGGGTGGATCCTATCTGTTTTCAGGCACCTCTCCCCCGACATGCTCGCGTGGCACAACAAACCTGGACAGGAGGTTTGGGGCTGTTTTGGTGGGGCCCCTGGGGGCCCTCGCCCGGCCGAGCGGGCCCCGGGGGAAGGGGTCGGGTTCTCGGGGGGTCCCGTATGGAATAGTCAGGACATCGCCTGTCTGGGTCGTTCTTGTGACCCCGCCCCCCAGACCCCCTCGTGCAGTGAGCAAATCGTGACGGAAGGCTCTTCCTGATCTTCGGCCTTTGGAGGCCCTTTAGCGGCCCCCGGGACCGTCAGACATCGATTCGGGATGGAAAGCCAGTCGAGGGGGAGGGGGTCGAGACCTCTGAGGGTCGACGCTGTGAAAAAAAAAAACGAGACGTCGGGGGCCTGGGTTACGACCCCACCCCCCCCAGGACCCCATCTCTGAACACCCCGAGGCTGGGGGGCCCCCGCGCCAGCGTCGCCGACGAGCTCGGGCGTCCTCCGCTCCAGCTTCGCCCGCTCCAGCTTCGCCTCCTCGAGCTTCCTCGAGCGCCTTCCAGCTTCCCTCTCCTGGGGCGGCGCCGGCGCGCCCGAGGGCGGCTCGGGGCAGCAGGGCGGCACCGTCCCAGCTGCGGTCAGCGCGCAGCTGCGGCGGATGTGCCGGGGCATGCGGGAGCCTTTCTTCGCCGTCGAGACGTGCCACAATTGCGAGAGCCACATTTGGAACACGCGCCACTGCCAGCGTAGGTACGACGAGAGGTTCCAGGCCTTCCAGAGCACGGTGAAGGAGCATCAGTCCATGTTCGACGCCTGTCAGTGCGTCCAGCTGCATATGCCTGGCCCCCGTGGCCTGCAGGGGCCTCCTACCAACCGCTACGGCGCGTTCGAGGTGTACCTGGTGGACCCTTCGGAGCCAGAGAAGCCGAAAGTGGTCCACTCCAAACTGCAGACGCGCAAATGGCCGAACCCTTTGGCACTGGCCAGTGGCCGCGGCAGCAGTAGCGTCAGTGTCGTTGGGCAGTTCGACGTGCCATACGACAGGGTCCGGTCTGAGAGCAGCAGGCACTTCCTCAGCTTCAGGAAGCACGTTGTCGAGGGCTTGTCCAAGCTGCTTTTCGACTCGGCACAGATGCCCGTGGCGATGGTGGAGGTCGCCAGTCCGTTGCTCTCTTCGTTTGGGACTTGGGAGGAGAGCCGTGGCGGGGCAAAGGACCCAGACGCCAAGACGACGGTATTCGCTGCTATAGAAATATTCGGTGTCGAAGGCGAGGAGCATGTTGACAGGCTGATGCGTCTCTTTCAGGAGCAGCACCCAGACCTGCTCCAGCTGCCCCAGCTCGACAAACTCGTGTGGCTGGGCCGGGGGACGACCGGAGATCCGAGGACAGACCTGGAGGAGGCTCGACTTCTTCTCGCGAGGCCGTCCAAAGGCGAGATGAGGAGCTTCACGCCCTTTCTGCTAGAACCGGCGCGCGAGGAGGCGTTCAAGAAGGCCGCGGCCACCATGCAGGTGAAGAATCTGCTGGGGGGCATGGACGCAAAGGCCAGGGAGATCGTCGCCAACACCCCTGCGCAGGAGAGCCTCCTTACTCTGGCCAAGAGTTTTGTATGGGAGGTCGAAGACATGTGGTGGGCCAAAGGGTGCAAAGGCACGCGCAGCGTCCTTGACGAGCTCCAGGATAACCTGCGCGAGCCCAACGATGGGAGAAATAAGAACCTCACCAGCGAGTTCGTCATGCGCCTGAGCGTGGAGGCGGAAGAGAAGCACGGGCTCATGGAGGGCCTCGACTACCGCTTGAGATGTGCGCCTTTCGGGCTCCAGGTCCACCGTCAGAGTGTATCCGCATCTCGGCGGCGAGCGAGGGGGGGGAAGTCTGGAGGAGCTGGCCTTCTCAGAAGGTTCGGAAGCACCCCGGCCTTCAGAAGTTTTCTCAGCCTTCCCCGCCGAAGGCCAAAAAGACTTCTCAGAAGGCGCGAGGGCTTCTGAGAAGTCCCGCCGCCTTCTGAAAGGGCCTTCTTTTTCTCATTTCCCCCACTCGCTCGCCGCCGAGCATCAGGGTCATGCCCTGAGATCTCGAGCAACCCTCGAGGCGTGGCGCACATGGGCATCCGCCCGCCCCTTCTGGGCCCGAAGCCACACCCGTGCCCGCAGCTCCCAGAGGGCTTGTCCAGAACAGGACTCCCTCAGCAGCAGCTGGGCGGATGTGGATGTCCCTGGCTCGACGATGGGAGGACCACCCCGACCCCCCCCCCCCTTCGATCCAGAGATCCGACGCTCCAGACAACATTGGAGCGGGCGGTTTTGGGCTGTTTGCGGCCTCGGGGGGCCCTCGCCGGGTCCGGGGCCGTCAAACGACGACTCGGGACGACAAACTGGCCCTACAGGGAAGTGGCCCAGACCTCCGGGGCCCACGCAACGAACAAATTGGAGCAGCCGGATGTCAGGGAAGACCGAGGTCAGTTCGGGGAGGGTCTCTTCATGCCTTTCGTGCTGAATGGGTGTTTGTGCGCATCCTGGGGGAGGGCACCCTCGAAGGCCCTCGAGTACGGCCCGCAGATGGTCTCGTGTTCTTGAAGGATGTTGTTATGTCTGCGGTCCTGCTGTGCTTGGTTGAGGCTACGCGGTCCTGTGATTTAAGGGAGCACAGCCCTGTCCTGCTCGGCTCCACCTCGAGGGCCGTCACCTAGACGGGCTCGCCTGTGAGGGTGCTCAGGGTGGGGGTGGTTTTCATGCCCCCTCTTGGCGGCTCATAGGTCATCATCTGGTACACCATGCAGGAGGTGGACGTCGACCGCATCCACCTCTACCAGGACGTTCCCGAGTTTCCACATGGGCGCGAGACGCCCGCCGAACGCGACGAGGTCTGCGGCCTTTTTGTTTTTTCTGCCCTCCCCTGAACACAACGAGAATGCCCTCCCCCCCGCAAGGTTTACAAGCCGTACCGGGAGCTGGTCAAGAAGGATCCAGGGCAGTTGCGGCGGAACCCGATGATGTTCGGGGACGCCAACTGGGCCGTCCGGACGTCGTGGGACAGGTGCCTCTCTCGGCCGGGGCGAGGACGAGGGCAAATCCGTTCCAGAGCGTTCCGGAACGCTCTCAGGGCGTTCTGGCACGCTCTGAGAAGGCCGCGGCGCCCGAGACGCATCCTCGAGAGCCGCCGGAACCCAAAGATTCTGATGTTCATCTTCATCCTGCTTTGTCCTCGTCCTGGCTTCATCTCAGCATGGGGAATGTTTCGTCTAACCCTAATAGCACAGTGAAGATATGGCCTCACCAGGTACCCGTGTTTCCGTTAGGGATAACAGATCTTGGCGGTTTGGCCTGATGCATCTGCGGGAAGGACCCCTATCGCTAATGTTATTGGCCTTCCTGTTTTAGGTCCCGTCCCAAATCGTCAGGGGCCCTTTACATTCGGAAACTGGAACACATATACGTTACCAGTGGCGGGCTGTTTCTCAACCCCAGGACTTCCTGAGGGTCGAGGACGATGCTGGAGTGGTGTGGTGTATACTTTTTCTCAGATGTCCCGGGGAAGCAGCGAAACATGTATACACAAGGGTCCCGTATACACCAGGAGCCGCTCTCCAGCGCAAATTCCAATGCAGGGCCGGAACAAGCGTCGGTGTACAGAGCTCGATTCCCTTTGTATGGAGGAGGAGGAGGAGGAGGAGGAGGAGGAGGAGGAGAATGATCCGTGATCGAGAAGCGAGGTTCCCAGGCTGGGGCCCTGGAGAGGCCTTCACAAAGGGGCCCTCAGAAGCGCCTCGCTGGCGAGGTACGTCGCGGCCGGCGGGCAGCGAGATGCGCACGAGTGCTGGGACGGGATGCAGGAGCTCATCGAGGAGAAAATAATCCTTGATCGGAGGAGGACAGTGTACCCATACCTGTACCCTTGCCCTGTTTTCCCCTTTTTGGGCCTCCTCGGAGGCCCTCGTCGCCAGGGCTGGATTCACCTCAAAATTTTCGTCAGAACGCACCCCAAGAAAGGTCTGGGGAGTAGCGGTACCGGTACCTTTGGATTTCCCCATAGAAACCTTTGGCCCAAATGACGTAGTGAAGACGTGGCCTCACTTAGGTCCCCGTCGATGCACCAGGAATGCTGAATCTGCGCGGTTCGATCTGATGCATCGGCAGAAAAAATAACCTCATCCCTAATGTGTGCGGCCATCCCAAATCAGGCCCCCTTCCAAGAGGGTCAGGGGCTCTTTCGCTTCTCAGCAGGAGTGGGTCCGATGGGTCTGCCTGCTGGGGGCCCTGCGGCAGAGGCAGAGTCCGCCGAGGATCTCGGGCGACGAGGTCCAGGCACACTTCACACCGGCCCTGGCCGGCCCCCTCGTGTGCCGGTGCTCGGCGCATGCTCCCTCCTGGCCTGGCCCGGGAGGCACGTGCACCGGTCCTGGGCCCAGGAGGGGCCTGGCCAGAGCGGAGCGCGCATGTGTGTGCGGATCTCGTCGCACCGCCAGGACCGTGAGCAGGGGGCTCTTCCTCGGGAGGGCCCCGGAGGGCGTGCTGGCGGGGCTCCTCGACAAGCAGCCGGGGGATCTCATCTTCTGGGCCGCCCTCTCCCGGCGGTTCAAAGACGGGGCCCTGAGGGATGGGATTCCCTCAGGATAGGAAGGGATCCCAGGGTGGATTCGCATCGTTTGAGGCACCTCTTCCTGAGGGCCCCCATCCCTCAGGAGCCCGTCTTTCAAGCACCGACCTTCTAGTACCACCACGGACCCGAATATCGCCTCCCACTACGCCAACCAGGCTCCGGGGGTTACTAATGGGCGTGTCCCTGGCCCGAGGTGTCCCGATGGTTTCCAGGGATGCCCCCAGTGGCCCCCTGTTGGTGATTTGAGCCAGCTTCAATGATACATTTGTCCCCCAAATTTGTATAATTCCCGTGGACCCCTCCATCGCTCCCTTCCTGCCTTCCTCCCTTCTTCCCTCCGCCTGCTCCGGAATGCCGCGCAGGTTTCCGTGGCACTTCACTGGCACAAAGAAGACAACGACCTCTTCGAGGCACTGCGCAGCTGTTAATTTGCATGCGCTTGCACGCCACCGCACGTGTGAAGTACGAGCTGCCGAATTATCTGCCGATGCGCCGTCCAGGCGCGGCCTTTTCCTGTCCTGTCCTGTCCCCAGTGGCCTCCAGGGAGTCCCTCACGAGGCCCAGTGGGGTTCAGGCCAGGGACACTTTCGGGAGCCCCCGCCAGGCGGAGCCGGTGGAGAAGAACATCGTCTTCACCATCGAGAACGTGTACGAGGGCATCCACCTCGAGCCCTTCAGTCAGTATCCCAGGGAGAGGGAGCTGCTGCTGGCGCCATTCTCGCTCCTGCGCGTGAAGCAGGTCGTCCAGCCTTCGGCCGGCCAGTTCGCGCGGCTGATCTGCGACTACGCCGGGACGCTAATGACAGGTTCCCTCCACGACGCCTCACTCCAGGAGGATCTCTTCAGCTCCTGGATCAAGCTGTGTGAGACCGGTTTCGCTTGCCTGGAGAAGGGTCG